AATAACGAATCTTGTCACTCTCATTCCTAACGGACTCAACCTTAAATGTAACAATTGACATTCTTTTCCACATCTTTCCTCACTTTAGCCTTGACCAATAAGACTCCTAAACGCACCCTAATCTTCAAACTTGAAAAACAAAGTAACCACAAGTGAAAGAAAACGAATAAAGTCCTAATTAAGGTTAGGTTACATCAAAGTTCAACCACAAAACAAACGAAATAAAAACATCCAAATAAAAAAAAAAACAAATTCAAGCTTCTTCCTCCATGTCCTCCCCTCCTGCTCCACTTCCTCCTGCGTGGTCGTTTCTCCTCTGTATTCGCCCTTCCCAATTCATAATGTACGGATATCTGGGCCCGGGACGTGGAGCAATGTGCATTTGTTCAAAGAGATAATTGAACGACTCATTGTTATAGTTAATCCCTCGACCAATGTCATCCAAATACCCCCGATACTCCACGTGATTCCACCCCTCGTTCTCATCTTCCACCTGGATAACCGGTGGGTCTTCTCGAACCCGTTCCCTCCTATGTTGAACTGTTCTTCCCGGATCCTCGGGAACAACCACCTCGTCTTCATTTGGGATTGCAAAAGAATCCCCAAAATTTTCCACAATCCTTGCACTCTGGAATAATGTAATGCTAAACGAAGGAGGAGAAATCACGGTCAACGCCCTTGCCTCTTGCATGTCCAAAATGCCATATGACCTTGCGAGTCTTGTCACAAACATACCCCCATTAATTTTGGAGGTAATCTTATCTTTAACCGCTCCATCTGCAAGGTATCTTGCCAAACAATAAGGCAAGCTGCAAAAGACGTCCGGGGTGATGATGCTCCACAAATAGAAAATGTCGAGGGAAGGAACTTTATCATCATCCTTCCTCATATTTGTGGTACTAGCGATGAGGCGGTGGATGAGACGATAGATCGAAGAACGAATATGGCCCTCTTGAGAAAAAGAGGGAATATAGAACCGGTTTGCAATAGTATTCCACCAAGTGTAGGCAACAACTTCCTCGGGAAGATCCTTGTGGCATTGCTCCAGAAATGCTTCAAAATCCTCCGACATGATGATATTTTGGTCATAGAGACCAACCCTCCAGGCGAGTTCCGCTATGCTGCAGTGGCGCAGCTCCCCTCTGAGGCAAAAAAGTGATAATGTTGGTGTTATAATATTCACTACCATCCCAAAATGAGACAGTGGCAAAGAATTCCCAACACAATTCTGCGAATACGGGTTCTTGTATTTTAAACAGCTGCATCTACCCGTCACATATTATTGTTGTGCCATCCAATTCGAAAGATTTCACCAAATACGGGGTTAACTCCTCTTCCAACCCGGTTTGACTTAGCCAGTCCCAGTTAAGCGCATTAGGGAGATAGATCTCTTTTTGTTTCAAGGCCGCCAATCTGTTTTTCGCCCGAGCTTGTGACGACCTTGAAGTGATTTGTGAAAAAAAAAAAAGCCACGGAATGTCTCCATAACTTCCTCCCCGTGAGCTCTGGCCCCTTCTGGACATGATTTCTTCAAAACAACATCAAGAAAACAGCAAACAACAACCCAGATAATTAAAACTCATCATTACAGATTCAACAAGGCATGGACTTGCTGAGTCCAAAAAACTACTTGGCGAGTAGGACGAACTGCGATGGCAGTTCCCTTCTTGGTCCATTTTGGTTCAACAAAACACATATATTTGTCTTGGGGTTTGCTGTTCTAAGTCCCTTAAGCATACATTCGCAAGAAATTTGGTCAAAATCCTCCTAATTTATCCTAAAATCAAAACCCTAGAATTGGAGTAATACTCCAAATCCGAATTAACAAAATAAGTACTCAAAAATGATAAATTTGGGACCTTTAGCAAGAATCCAAAGGAAAAATCATACCTTTTTCTTAGTAAATGAAGATTCAGCAAGAATTCAAGAGAGTTGCTTGAGAGGAAAAGGAGTGCTTGATGAGTGAGAGGAGGCTGATGAAAAGAATTGGGGTAAAATGAAACCCTTATTTACAGATTGTGAAATTTCAATTGAAAAAGTGAACTCGTCGAGTAGGGGGACCTACTCGCCGAGTAGACGTGCGAATTATCGATTTCTCGTGTATTTCAACAAGTACTCGCCCAGTAAATGTATGAACTCGGCGAGTAGATCATTCAGTTTGAAAAAAAACTCGATTTTTTAATCTACCACCCCACACTTTGAGCATTGCTTGCCCTCAAACAATCTTATTAAGCATAATTTCAGAAGAAGATTGAAAAAAAAAAGCAGATCCTAAAAGTGAAAAAGAAATGCAAACTCTAAACTCGGGTTGCCTCCCAGAAGCGCTTCTTTTTAAGGAGTCGTTAGTTGGACTCCTTCCCGCTCTACGTGTCTGTCATGCCTTCCAGCAACAACCCTTCTTCAAGTCCTTCATTTCTCAGGATTCCTTCTTCATACTTTTTCACCCGATATCCATTAACCTTGAAAGGAGAGCCTTCTTTTGATAGTAACTCGATAGCTCCATGTGGAAAAACTTTCTTTATTATAAATGGACCATCCCATCACGACTTTATCTTGCCCGGAAAGAGTTTGAGCCTTGAATTAAAAAGCAACACTTTTTGCCCTTCGCGAAAGTACTTATTGCCCTTGATTCTTTTATCATGCCATTTCTTTGTAAATCAAGGAACTAGTGTAGGCTTCATTCCTAAGTTCTTCAAGAGCATTTAGTTGCATCAACCGGTTGGTTCTAAGTTCAGCTATATCAAAATTGCACATTTTTAAAGCCCAAAAAGCTTTATGCTCTATTTCTACCGTTAAATGACATTGCTTCCCATAAACTAGCCTATATGGTGTAGTACCAATAGGTGTTTTGAAAGTTGTGCGGAAGGCCCAAAGTGCATCATCTAACCTATCCGACCATACCTTCCGATTACTACCTACCGATCTCTCCAAAATTCTTTTTAATGCTCTATTTGTCACTTCAGTTTGCCCACTAGTTTGTAGATGGTAAGATGTAGAGAATTTATGAGTCACCCCATATTTTCTTAACACTTTTTCTAATTTATCATTGGCAAAGTGAGTACCAAGTCACTAATAAGAGCTTTAGGAACTCCAAATCTTTAAAATAACTTTTTTAGAAAGCGCACCACCACCCGAGCATCATTAGTTGGTAAAGTTTGTGCCTCCGTCCATTTGGATACATAGTCAACGGCCACTAAAATATATATGTTCCCTTTTGACATTGGAAATAGTCCCATGAAATCGATCCCCCACACATCAAAAACTTCACACTTGAATACTATGTTGTGGCATCTCGTTTCGGGATGATATGTTTCCTACTCTTTGGCATGCATCACACTCTTTAACATATTGGGTAGCATCTTTAAAAATTATGAGCCAATAAAACCCAATATCAAATATCTTATTTGCCGTGTAATGTGCTCCATAATGTCCACCGGTGGGCCCGCTATGACAATGCTCCAAAATTTCACGACTTTCTTTCCCGAATACGCATCTCCTTATGATCCCATCCGCGCAGCTTCGGAAAAGATATGGCTCGTCCCAAAAGTGGTATTTTATTTATGAAAAGGATCATCTTAACGTAAGACTCTTGATTTTGAACTCTTCCATAGGGGAGCCGTTAACCAAAATCTATAATGTAGAAGAGTTTAGGCTGCTCTAATCCAGCCATGCCATTTACAACCAAATCCCATCATTCGTAGAAACTTGTCTAGTTCAGTAGTTCTTCAATTGATAGTGACTCGAAGTCAACATTGAATGACATAAGCTTCTACCTATTTGACTTGTACTCATTCAATAATTGACAAATGTGTTGTGTCATGTAAATACATTAAGTGGGTTGAGAGGGCTTGACCTTAACCCGATCCGATTAGTTATTGTGTCGTGTCGTGTAAACTCATTTATTATTGTTTAAGGTTTAGATCTTGTAAACATGGTGTATCATGTCAGATTGAAACATTTTAAATATTGAAAAGTAAGAGACACAAAGGTGAAAAGAAAAAAGTGAAACACAATTAGAAGGTGAATCGACGAAGTTCATTTTAAGTTTAAAAGACAAAATACCAAAGGGAATAGATGATGAGGAGTAAAATTAAGTGGTTCTCAAAGTTTCAATTTTAATTTTAATTATTGAGTTTGATTCACTCCAAATCTATAATATATAATATTTATAAAAATATAAAATTTATAAAAAGTGATATAATTACACGTTTTACATTCAAATATCTCCGAGTTAAAAATCTTGACTCTAATCCTACCCGTTTAATTATCATGTCATGTCAATCCATTTGCTTAAACATGTCAAAATCTCTTGCTCAAACCCTTTAATTTTGTGTCGGGTTGCCGTGTCGTATCAGGTTTTGCAAGATCCAAAATTGACGGCATTTAAATAATGATGATTGCTATTTGCTCACTACATCATCGATATTCCCCAAGAGACAGTTCATCAAAAAAATATTTCAGAAATTTTATATTAACACCCAATTAGATTAATCGACCTAGTCTGTAACAGAAACCATGTCTTATATTTGAGCTAAATCTTTTGTTTTCAAAACGTTCGGTATCTCCAAATCAGCATCACACATCCAAATTACAAGAAACTTAAAAAAACAAAAGTTACCCAACAAAATGAGACGATAATACAAAAATAAGATTAAAAAAAAAAAAGATAAATATAATCATAATACATAATGGCATTACTTTCAAGGTCATATGAATATACACACACTACAGACTACTCACCTCCATTCATATTCATATTCATATTCATATTCATATTCATATTCCATACCAAAACCCCGACTCAATCCAAAACATTCACAATCAAACAAACAAAAAAGACGAATCCGACCTCGAACATTGCTCCAAAACATTCAACGATTCGAGCCCCACCCCCCACCCCCCCAAAAAAAAAAAACAAACAATATTATATATATATTCCCGAAAACACCCCTGCACATCCCAATCAAAACAATCATAGAAATCAAAAACAAATACCTTCTTCATCCGGTAAAATTGAATCCACCAGCGGGAACTTGAACATTACTCCCACCAAAATTCAAACCACCATCACCAACAGCCTCCTCCTCCTCTTCTTCCAACCAATACGTTTCAAGAATCTTAACTGCTTTTTCATAGATTTCAGTATTATCATGACTTTGCAAATTCTCAATCTTTTCCAAACCTTCTGCATCATCTATCATTTGTGCATAGAAATTAACATCTCCTGTGGTCCCCGCGTTCTTCTCAACCTCTCCTACTTTTAGAATGTTCTCCAGCCCTTCCAGACTTACAGTTATGATGCGTGGGTCCGGGCATATTAGAAGATCACACAACGGTTTTATACAGCCCTGACTCACCAAATACCTATTTATCAATCATCACAGCAAGGGTAGAATTGTCATCATCTTTATAGATTTATATTTGCATTTTTTTTTTTTTTTTTTTTTTGTGTTATTTATACCACAAAAAAAACTTCAAATTTTCATAATTGATCCTGGAGGTATACATAATTTTCAGATTCAGTCCAAGGGCAATTTGGTCATTTAGAAAAAAACTAACTACTCAAAAGTTTAAGTTAACACCAGAAGAACTATTGGCCAACGGCGTGACATTTTTCATAGAAGTCCTCAAAGTGCAATATTGTGCAAACCAGAGGGACCAATTATGAAATTTTGTCTAATTTCAAAAATCAGCAACACCAATGGACCAAAAACGTAAAACCAGCTAAACATGCGAGTCATAATGTGGAAAAGTTATTTTGTAATATTAAAAGATTGTAAGTTTGAGTTTAAAAAAAAAAAAAAGGAGGGGGGGAGGGGGAACGTACTTGATTTGATCATTAGTGCCACCGGAAGTGGCGTTGGATATAGCCCATGCAGCTTCTTTTTTGATATCGAATTCGGCTGTTTGGAGGAGATGTATTAAGGGGGGGATTAAAGCGGAATCAATTACGGTTTGGATTTGTTGTTTGTTGCCAGCTGTGATGTTGGAGATGGTCCAACAAGCTTCTTTTTTGATGCTTTTCTTGTGGTTGTGTGTTAACAAGCTTAGGAGACATGGGAGTGCACCGTGGTCGATGATGCACTGTGTTTGGAGGTCGTCCCCCGTCACGATGTTGCCGATGGTTCGCAGGGATGGAATCAGAACCGATGGAGATGGATGACTGGAATATGGAATCGGAATCGGAATGCTTGTTAACAAGTGTTTTTGGTATCATGGAATGGAATCAGTTGTTCAAACTTGTTTGTTATGTGCAATTCGGAAAGTAAATCAAAGGGAAAATCTCCCAAAATTTTCGTGTGGTTTACATTTTAGTCCTGAATTAATTCTTTTTTTTTTTAAAAAAAATCCCAAAATTTTGGTCCAATTTACATTATAAAGGTTTTTTTTTTTTTTTTTTTTTGCAAAAAAGCCCTAATATTTTGGGTCAGTTTACGAAATAGTCCCAAATTAATTTGTTATCGATCCTAACCGGTAGAAAAGGGTCAGAATGCAACATTTTGCCGTTTTTTAGGACTTTTTTATAAAAAATATTAATTCTGGACTAAAATGTAAGCTATGCAAAAAAAAAAAAAAAAATGGGACTTTACTAGAGATTTCCCGTAAATGAAATGTAGAAGTAGAATGACTTTGTTTTTATAGAGGATAAAAGGCATTAGTTGATAAGTTATATATAAGTGTATTTCATGTCTATTTTGTATTGGAAATAGTAAAAAAGGTTTATTGATCATTCCAAAAAAAGAATTGTTACAAAGGTAAAAAAATTAGATAAATTTAAGGTAATTTACAATTTCGGTCCTTATTTGATGAGTTTAAAATGCTTTTGGTCCATGTTTTCTAAGTAAAATGGTTATATTATCCTTTATTAACTTGATAAACAAAAAAAAATATGGAACAAATTGCAAATAGATTAAAATGTTTGCAATTTTGGTCCTTATTTGATGAGTTTAAAACGCTTTTGGTCCATCTTTTCTAAGTAAAATGATTATTTTATCCTTCTTTTTACTTGATATTGATAAATAAATAAAAAATCAGATTTTTTTTGCATGGGACATGGACCAAAAGTGTTTTAAAGCCTCAAGTAAGGACCAAAATTGCAAATAGATTCATTTTAGGATAAAGAAAATGAAGAAAAAAAAAGAGTTAGAAGTCATGGGACCATAATTGTAATTTACTCTAAAATTAAATGCTATGAAATCTTAATATAGAATTATTAACTAAAATTTATTTTAGGAAAATAACATGAAATAAGTTTAACTTATGTCTTGAAATTTTTCAAGAACAATATTTTTTTTTAATTAAGCTTGTATAAATAAAAGTAATTTATGAATGAAAATCAGAATCACATTATGTCGAAAATGCTCCATTCCATTCCCATGTGGCAAAACAAACATGATTTTCCATTCCATTCCATTCCCTCTTCAATTAACCCATACCAAACACAATCTAAAAGTAACTAATTAATCACCATAAAGAAAAGAAAAAACTCACAGAAGAAGCTCAACAAGGCGTCTGCATACACCTGCCTCAATCACAGCTTGAATTTTATCATTTGTTCCATCAGATAAATACGATAGAGCCCAACATGCATCTGTCAACACCTCTTCATCATTCGAATGAACAAGTCTCTCAAGTGCAGGAAGTGCTGGTTTTGTCTGCAATTCAAAAACACATTCAGACTCTCAAATCACTAATCTCAAGCTGATAAAATAACAATAACAATAACAATAGCAATTAACAATAACCTCCTCAAAAGGAGGTTGAGGTTTCCCTCTACAGAAATTTGAGAGTGTCCAGGTGGCATTTCTGAGCATGGAAAGCTTAGCATGTTCATTTAACTGAGCCAACAATGGAAGCAGAGCACCTTGTCCAAGAACAAGATCACGACACCTCGGGGAATCACCAGCAACATTTCCAAGAGCCCAAACAGCCTACACAAAATAAAAATAGAAAAGATAATTATACAAATTAAAAATCACCCCTTCTTGTCTACATTGAATGAGTAACTATTAAGGGTATCTTTCGCAATGTAAGCTTCTGAAAGGTTAAAATTACATAAAGCTACTTGAAGTAACTTTTGGATTATGAGTTAAAAGCTTTAAACTTGTACTCTCAAATGAAGCTTTTTCTTTAATTTGAGTTTCTTTTAAAAGCTAAAAGCTAGTTGCCAAACTCGCATTGACTAATAATAATATATATATTTGTTACCTGTTCACGAACATCATCACTTGGTGAAGCAAGAAGCTTGACAAAAATTGGAACTGCTCCATGATCAATTACAACTTTTGTATTGTCAGAAGTTCCAGAAGCTATGTTTGTAAGTGCCCATGCAGCCTCAAACTGTTGAACAGATTCAAGATTAGGTCAAAAGAAAGAGAAAAAAGAGGATAATGTTTCTGAATGCTGACCTGAAGCTGTGGGAAATCTTCTCTCATCAAGAATTCAACAAAGCGAGGTACAACACCAGATTGTATAACTTCTTCAATTGGTGGACTACGTTCTGTTAAAACAAAGTTTAATCATGTTGGTTAACGGATATTTGTTCTTGAAAATGAATAGAAATTAGGGAGGGAAAAAAACATGGTTTAGATTTTATACCTATTGAAAGCAATTTCCGAAACTGAGTAGTTGCTTCCAGCTGCATATTGTTGTCATTGGAATATACTCCAGCAACCATAGCAGGAAGACTCTCCAACTGCAATTCGTCAGTTTATAGGTTTAGATGACAACAATATACAGATGCACATACATGTAATGATAAGAAACAAATCATAGCTTTAAAACAGTAAACTAGATTATGAAAACAAAGGTTAAAAACTTCTAACCTAGTAAGGACGTATTCAATCAATCAATCGTCATCAGTTCTGATTCAATTTTAATTACAATCGTATCATAACTTGTAATACTAGCAAACACTAGATCAATGTAATAATAACACTAGGTGCAAAACTCTAATCATATGCATCTGATGTTACAGTTCCAAAAATCGTGTAATGAATCCAAAATCGAATCGGAAAGTGAGAGTTAACCTTTTTCTCCACGGTGGAGGATGGGACTGGAACACCGGTGGACAAAGGCTGTGACGACGGTAGTACTTGACGTTTCTTAAGTAAGTTCTCTTCTCTCTTATTCTTACGGATCTCGACCATATTGTCTTCTCTCCGCCGCCTTCCTTCATCCGCATCGACGGCAACCTTGTATCGGTTCCGGCGAACCTCAGTCCTCGCGCTCGGCCTCAGAGACATGAATTGATAGCTGATTGATATCGCTCAACTTGAGAATCGAACCCCTAAACACATAAATTCATATGCACAAATCGATCAATACACAAAATACTTGATTTAGGGGAATTGAAGTGGTATAGAGTTATACTGTACACTACACATACCTGAAGAGGGAATTTAGAGAGAGAGAGAGAGAGAGAGAGAGAGAGAGGTTTGATTATTGAGAGAGATTTGGATTACTCGGGTATTTTCCTTTTTTATTTTTTCTTTCTTTTCTTTTTTAAATACTTGAAAAGCTTAAATAATTAATTAAATATAGTTAGAAAAAGTTAAGTTTCAGTTTGACAGATTTGATCCTTTCACTTTGTAAAACTTCACAATTGTGGTCTAAACCTTTGCCTTTCTAAAAATTGCCCCAGATTCAAATAATCTATCAACAATAATTTCAAATGATAACTTAGTTGACTGTTTTTGAGAAATTTATATATTATATAATAAAACCCTATTATAATACATTGAAATTATTTCAAAATGAGAAATTTTATCATTTGGTTGTATTATTATATGAGAAACCCATTTAATTATTTTCAAATATCCTAAATATATGTAACAAACACGAAATAAAGAAATTTAATAACCTCGAGTTAATGTATTCGATTAATTTTTATGATGACAACAATACATATGTTATTTATTTAGTATAAATATTCAAAGCTAATGATTTTTGTGAAAGATTTTTCATTTAATAAAAAGTAGAAAAAAAATTATTTCCTATTGTTGAGCTTTTCAACCGTGTTTGAAAATTTAGAAGCACTTAGGATGAGTTTTTTTCAATCATACTCTCATACATTTTCAACTAATTATATAAACAATTTTTGAAATAAAATAAAGTTATATAAAAAAACTTATGGATCTCATAAGTTGATGATATTACGAACTTCTGTATTTATTTATTTATTATTATTATTATTATTATTATTATTATTATTATTGTTTTGATGAATGGTACCTACTTATCAATTATTATAAAACTTAAAAAAGAATCTTGTGATTGTTTTGTCAAAATCATAACTTGTTGTCTTCTTGATAGGGCATGAGGTCATTTTGGTAAACAAATTTGTGAAAGGGTAACTTCAAATAAAGTTAAATAGAAGGGCAAAATATTAAAATTCACCCCAAAACAAAGGGGTGTGGCAAAGGAGAAATTAGTAAATACGGGTCGGCATTTATGAGCAATTAAAGGTTGTACCGCACTTTTGGCATGAAAAAAGCAGCCACTTCTGTATCCGGTACGACGGGCTTCGGCCCAATGTGAAAGCGATTTGGATATGGTATCAAGCATTTTATTTTTGTAACCTTTTTTCAGAAATATATTTTTAAACAGTTTTACAAATTAAGATTTTTTATCTTATTCAATCATTTTAACATATATTTGTAAACATTGGTGTATAAGATACCATATCCAAATAGGGATCTCGATATGCTGTTCAACGACTTTGATGAAGACATACAATAGCATTAAAGCATACACCATAAGACCATTTGGAGTACCTTATAAGCTAGAAGAATCCGATAGAGATATGTCATGGTTATTCGAGATATATATTGTCGGTCTACAACCTATGTAAATATCCTTGTCGAACACACGAACTCGTTTACTGTAGGCATTGGACTACATCGAGGCCCAACTCTCAACGTATATATCCATTCCCGATGTTAGACGAGATTTCTCATGAGATTCATAGGGATATAACTTGGTGTGTGCTATTTGCAGATGACATGGTGTTGGTTGCCGAAACAAGGATTGAGTTGAATGATATGTTACATAATTGGAAGAGGATGTTGGAAAAAAAAGGGATTATAACTCAACATTGTTAAAACATAGTATCTTTTGTGCAATTTCAACCAGGAGGGGGGAGGGGAGGGAGAGGGTATGCAAAAGAAGTTGACATGTGTATAGGGGACCAAGCTTTATCTTCAATGGAGCTTTCCGAATGCTTAGGGTCTATGATACATAGAATAGATATGGTGAATGTAGATGTTACTCATCGCATAAATGCAGGTTGGTTAAAGTGGATGGTGGCCTCATGGGTATCCTGTGAAAAGAATGTTTCGTTGAAACCGAAGGGGAAATTTTATAAGATGATTGTGATGCTAGCTATGACGTATGGATCTGAGTGTTGGTCGAGCAAGAAAGATCACAAGAGGAAGATGAAATCAATAGAAATGAGGATGTTATGGTGGGCATGTGGCAAAACGTTGTTGTATAGGATATCGTACATAACATAAAAATAAAAATTCATTGGGAGCTTTGGATCCTCCCTGCTTGCAGAAATTAATAAATCATAAGGGGGGTGGATTCTCTATTTCCGGGTCGGGCGGGAGGTGAAGACTATAAGAGAAGATTGCCCTCCCGGTAAGGAAGATTTGTTCAATTATTGATGGAAGGTCAATTGGGGTGGTATATGTTGAAATATGATGGTTTTTACAAACAAACGCATCATATGAAAATCAAAACTTTTACCATCATATTACACCAAGGATCAAAACGCAACATAAGAAAATCAAAACTTTTACCATCATATTACACCAATGTAACACCCGTAGATTCGGACTAGTTATAATAAGCGTTAAAAATAACTTTTTGGATAAAATATTATTTATCATAAATAATCTTAATCAAAGTTATAGTATATATCACAAGGATTTCATGCATATAAAGAATGTCTGAATCTGACTTTGTGAGAGGAAATTATGATTTTTATAATATTTTAGTGTAGCAATATACGACTCAGAAACCGAAATTGAAATAGGTCGATTGTTAGGAAAACCAATCTAAATGAGAGTTGAAGATCCCGTTAACACTCATCCGTCAATATAAACACGGTCAAGAACGGATACCATATGAGAGAGTTATGAATTTTAATGGACTTTAACAGTCTTATGTTGTTAAAAATACAACTTTAAAAATAAAATCAAAACTAGCCGACATAGTCTAAATAAAAGTTGTAGATCCCGTTGATAGCTACGCGTGGATATAAAACTCGTTAAAAACAGAGCTCGTATGCAAACAATATTAATTTTTGAAGAAACATAAATTCCTTGCTTGCGCTTGCGTGCAACGACGGCGCACACTGCCACACCACCCAAAATGCGACACGTGGCATGATATTTTTATATTTATACATATATTTAGGCATTATTTAATACATTTTAACCTATATTTTTTAGATTGTAAAGATATTTGGTACTTATTGAGTTAAATTACAATATGCAGCTAAATAGGACAATCTTAAAGGAAAGGGACCAAAGATGACAAAAGTTAGAATCTTGGAGGCTAAAATTAGCAGCAACTTGGAACTGGAAGAAAAGCCATGTTGAACGACGTGGCCACATCTAGAAGCTTGGGTGATTTTCCGTATATGAGATTTCATAGAAGACGACAACGTGGTGGTGGTCAAATACGTCGTGGTGGTTAGATTATGGCAACTATAAATATGTGGATATTAGGTCGAATTTAGTGGGTTGGCTTAAGGAAAAAGCTTTGATTTATGACTAAAAACATTTGGAAAACCTAGAGAAGGCTAGGAATCGAATAGATTGCAAGAGTTGAAGAGAATTGAAGAAAAAACATCATCAAATCGTTCAGTTTTCTAGATTTTACCATGTCTGTTTTAGTTAACTTAGATTTATTATATGTTTCGGTTTTAGTTATGATCTAATCACCCCATACTTCTGTTTGGTGAAGATGAACCCTGATCATATGTGTTGATTTTGAATATTGGATGTTTTATATTGATTTTACTTATGTTTGATAGACCATATCATGTTTAGTTATAGTCTTTCAATGCCTTGATATGAGTTTAGCGTAGTAGATTAATAACATCTTAGACTAGGTAATTAAAGCTAGAAACTTTAACTGTGTTAGAGAGCATAATTAATATTAATTTGTTATTGGTTGCTTAACTTGATCATAGGAAAGTAACTTTTATCATTCATAGTCCAATTTGTGTTTACTATCAATTTAGTGTTAAACGTGTGCATGATCATTACATGGTAATGCATAAATTGGTAAGTCTAGATATTCAGATCTCAGTAAAAACCTCATATCATAGTTTTTTCTTAGTTTAATTAAAAGTATTTAATTTATTTAATTGAATTTCGTTCCCTGTGATCGATACCCGACTTACCTGAGCTATACTATAATCTGACTAGGTACACTGCCTACAAGTGCATAGTTAGTGAGAGTTTGTTAGGTTATAAATTTAAGACTAGTAGGTACTTTTGTTCACATCATGGCACCACGCAGAGAACGACACATCACCCTTGTCCGAACCGATGCACGATGCGCACTTGATTTATATGCTACTCATACCCTTTCAGGCCTATATAATGCTCACAAATGCAACTTATTTCTCACCCACTCCACCAAAATCACTCTAGAATTCTCTTGTACTTTTTGTCTCTTTTACTACTGAGATTTTGATTACTTTGGCGGAGCCCTACAGTATCAGATAGCCGGTGAATAGAAGCTCCCAGATCGGAGTTATGCCTGCAACCGATGGACATAATGAGAAGACTCACCTCATACTGCTGAAACATACAGAAAACCCTTGGTTTCTAGCTGACAGATCCTCAAACTACCAATAAAAAAACAATACCTAATTAACCATTGGGTTCTAATCCATAACCAGAACTCCATACTTGGGGTAAAAGGCCATTTAACAGGCACAAAATTCATGGAAAGAAAGAGTACGAGCTCCAACGATAGCCATAACCTCAACACAGAACGCTCCCAAACGTTCATCCAAGATCTCTAAACCCCCTCCTTGACAGAACCAAAATCACAGGAGTCTTCTCCAAAACACTGCGGGTAATCTCTAAAGAGATAAATTCCCACATCTACTCGCTAATCCGCCCAATACCCTTACATGAGCTGGAACTAGAACCTAAATTTCCTTCCTGGAAACTCAACACCAAGCTGAAATAAAGTCATGCATTTTAAGGCCCGCCTTAGTACGTTGGGCGTACACTTGTATACATTGGGCGTACTAACGTCTGGGCGAAACCCTAATATTTGGAGTTTGGGGCCTATATAAGCAACATAATAAGCACCAATACCCCTCTTACCTCAACCTCCACAGATCAACCTCGTCTTTCCAAAACCCTAGCCTTCCCTTTTATGTGTTTAAGCTCATTTGTGTGTTCTTGAGTGCTTTAAGAGGAAATCATTGCATCAAAGAGTTGAAGGAAGAGACCAAACTTGTAGATCTAAAGTTAGCTCATGCACAAGAAGCTACAGAAGGTATAAAGTTCCAAACTTTATGCTTATATGTTAGATCTCTCCATTTTTCTTTAAAAGACCCAAATTTT